AGGCAAGAGAGATTTTTTGTCACAAATTGAACGAGGAATCCAAAAATGTTTTTAATTTGTAATATCTCAGTGGCGTACCATTTTTTTCTTTAAAAAAATTGAGATTATTATCCGTACGCGCGCCAATGATGAACATAAAATTCTTAATTGCGTGTCAAAAAATGCGCAATAACTACCTCTTAAAACCCACCAAATTTCATTTGCACATCTCGACCGGTTTCAGAGCAATAAATTAAATCGTCAGTTTTTAAGAAAAACTTTGACACCCCGTATCTCGGAAAACGAATCATTTGCGGACATACGTTTATAAGCAAACTGCCATTATTTTCTCATGTAGAATCACCCCCTGAAATTTGTCGCACTTATTTACTAACACCCTGTATATCAAGGTTCAGCGGAGTGCGGCATCAAAACTCGATTCGTACACATGTCGATATATCTAGGTTGTCATTTGGGGGCCGACTCTTCATGCTTATCCACCATCCAGCTAAATACTTTTGGGAGCTTAAAGTAGACAAAAACAAAAAAAGAGCGGTAGGTCAGTGGTGTATCTAGGGGCACATATTTTGGGGCAGCACTTTCTATATTTAGTTTTAGTTGTAAAAAACAACTTGTTCACTTCATAAGTTTGCTATTCGATTTCTACGAATTATGAACTACTGTATGATTTCGAATATTTTTCCTCATCGTCAGTCAATGTTGAAAATATTATCTCTAAAAATTTTTTATGGCTGTACCTGCACTGCAAGAAGTGGTCAAACGTTGGAAAAACGGGGAGGGGAAGGCCCTCTTGATCTACTAAAATTATTCAACAGTATAGATTGGAAAATTCTGCATCCAACATTGTAATTTTGCTAAGAATATTTTTAACAATAATTGCTATCGGTGTGTTGCGAAAGGAGCATATCCAAATTGAGGTTTAAGACTACAAAATCTTGCAATATTGTCCATAGAACAAGAAAGTACAAATAATATAAATTTTGAGAGCATTATACACGATTTTTCTACTATGAAAGTTAGAAGAGTAAATATATAAATATGTTTACATACACATATGAGTATAATTTGTTTGTTTATCCAAAAGGAATGTATTTATTTATACATTTTTTTTTGTAAAGTAGGTATATGTTTTGTCCCATAGGTGGGGAACCTGCGACCCCCCGTAAGTTTCTTGTGGTCTTAAAAAAATTATCTTGTATTTTTATAAAAGTTGTATTTATAGGTATATCAACTTATGCGGCCTCCTTTATGACTACCTAATTTAAATATGCCAACCAATGGTAAAAAAGTTCCCCACCTATAATTTGTCTCATTTGCAATTATTTATTTATGTTTATTAATTTATAAAAACCAGCATTTGATTCACTTAGAAAGGGCGGCAAATTGGAGACCACCCCGGACGGCAAAAGTTCTAGGTATGCCACTGCGGTAGGTCTATTTTTTTATTTGTACTGGAGTTATAGGCCTACGGAATTATATAAAGTAAATAACCGTATTTAAATTCGTAAGAAAAATAATATTATTTCGCAAATATTTAATTAATGATATTTTGTAAATGGGTATTAATAAAATTCTCACACTTTCCGGCTGAACCAGAATTTGAAATTAATACATTTCTTTTTTGGTAATTTGGTCTAAAAATATATAGGTTTATCTTGAGGATTAGACTTCTTCGAAAAAGAAATGGTATTAAGTCATTTATAGCGAATACATCTTGACTTCCAATTTCTTGCGTTTAAGACAAAACAAATAAAGAAATCTTTAAGAACGTTTTTTGCTTCGTACTTTTATTAGTGAAGTTAGGTCATAATTTGTAAGGCATCTTATTTAGAACCACATAATTGAATGCACATCCCTTGAATCTGAAGATGCCAGACAACTTGTTTTTTGTTCTTTGCCAGCGTCAAATAAAAATTTATCAAAAACCTGCATTTAAAAAGTTATAGACTGCATTATTTTTATAAATATTGGTTAATTTTACGGAATAAGCATACTTTACTATCTAAAGAGCCTCATAAATGTTTACAAGCCACGTGACCGCCGAGCTTAAGAAACCCACGTTGCATGGCTGGTACTGGTAACTAAACTTCCCTACATATTGGCGTCACCAATATTAATGATTCGATTACAATGAATAATGACAAACCATTACACTCGAGATAATGCGATCGCTGATTGGTTGAACAGAATTTCATGAAAAATTCACCAATCACAGCCGGTGAAACAGAATGTTGTGTTTTAACAGAAATTTGATTTTATTGTTCTAATAATTTTTATTTCACCTAAATTTAATTGCCAACATGAAGGAAAAAAATTACTGTTTCAAACAAGATTAATGGTCACGCGACTTGTAATCATTTACGATGCTCCTAAATTTTTTGTTTCAGGGAACTCAAAATATATTTGCAAATAACATCTTCTACATGAAATTATAGAAATAAAAATATTTTTATGCCAAATAGAACCCTTTACTGTATAGTTGCGATATAAAAACGTTAACTAGCTAACTGTATAGACGATATGACTTTTTCTTTTTAGTTATCTCTACAAATGACATTTTCTCAAATATTTTTCTGAGACACTTAACCATATCGATTTATATTATGTGACATGAGTAGGACGTACGCATTATTTATTAAAAAGCAATTGTCCACAATACACCACAATAACACCAAAGGTATGGAATTAACTACGCATCATCCGCACGTTAACAAATCCAACAGTATACTAACGTGACATGAACGTGAAAAGCATTCCAACTCGGTTGACACGTCATTGAATTGCGGCTCTCTCTGACAGCCTTAGACATGAGACATTAATCTAAAAGAAAAATGTTATCACCTGATCACCTAATTTAATGGTGGCGAATTACGAAATTCATTTTGTAATATTTTTGTTTACTTTATAATCTGAGTATCCAATCATGTTTTAACCTTCTTTTTTTCGGCTACATCTTGTTCTTTTTTCTGTAAAAGATCTATTCACGGGTTTTCTACCTAATCTCAGGTAATAAAGTACATAGGTAATTGATTAAATTTTTAAATGCGAATATTGTAAATCTGATCTCGGATTCGTGATCAGTGATTCCGAAAACCCCCGTATACCAAATTTGGCGGTAATATATTAGTTTTTGAAAATTTGGTCGGCCATCTTGGATTCGCCATCTTGAATTTTTCAAAATTTACCTCAAATTCATGATCAGCGACGCCGCGAATCCCCTTATACCAAATTTGGCGCGAATGTCTTATTTTTTGAAAAATTGGTCAGCCATCTTGGATCCGCCATCTTGAATTTTATAAAATTGACCTCGGATCCGTGATCAGCGACCACAATAACCCCCGCGTACCAAATTTGGCGCGAATCTGTTATTTTTTGAAAATTCGTCATCAATTCTGATCGCGGATTTACGTTCAACGGGGTCTTAACCATATAAATGAATATTTGAATATAGAAAAAAGAATTTTCGTATGTTTCCTAGCACTTTTTCGTGAATTTTTGCTATTTTTGACCTGTTTTTTGAGGTTAGGAAATTCCTGTGATGTGATAGCTCAATTCTGGATTCGTGATCAGGAGGCAAAAATACTACGGATAACATATTTCGCATGAAAAGTACAGACGACTTTTTTGTGTGTGGCTGTGTAATTTTTACCCCCTCAAGCAAATCGAGTTTGTTCGAATATTTCAGATTTAATGTAGGGAGCCTGAGAATGATTACAAACCACGTGACCGCCGAGCTTAGGCAACCCAACATTGCACGGTAGGTATGTTAACTAAAAATCCCTAAATATTAGCGTCATCAATAATAATGATTCGTTTACAATGAACAATGACAAACCGTTACATCTACGTTCGAGATAATGTAATCGCTGATTCGTTAAATAAAATTTGGTAAAAAAATACACCAATCACCACCCGTTGAAACAGAATGTTGTTTCAATGTCATGTTAACCTTATTGATTTAGTTTTACCGAAATTTAATTGCCAGCGTGAAGGAAATAAAGTTATTGTTCGATACAAAATTACTGGTAACGTGGTTTGTAATCATGTATGAAAGTTCTATACCAGAATAGCCATTAACGAAAACAAGTCAGTTCCTACACTATTAATGATTAATTTCAAAATGTTGCCAAAATATATTCTGTGAATTATAAGATAATTTGTGAGTTAATATTTGTACAGAGCCTTCATAAATGATTACAAGCCGAGTTTATGAAACCAACATTGCACGGCTGGGTACTGTCTACTAAAAATCCCTAAATCTTAGTGTCGCCAATATTAATGGTTCGTTCACAATAAACAATGACAAAGAGTTACGTTTACGCTCGAGACAATCGGATCGCCGATTGGTTGAATGAAATGTTTCACCAATCACCAGCCGGTGGAACACCACATTATTGTGTTTTAATTTTATACGAAATTTAATTGCCAACCTGAAGGAAATAAAATTACTGTTCAAAACTGGTCATCTGGCTTGTTATCATTTATGTATTATGTCATGAGTGAGGTATGGATGAGTTTTAAGGGCCAGAAACTCTCCATGACAAATAATTTCCAACGATTTTTTTTTTGTAAAAGGGAAAGTGATTAAATGTCCCAGATTATTTATTCAAGGTGGGAAAATTTAGTTTACTACCAGAAATGGCTTTCAACAGTTAATCTACAGTGTGTCTCGAAATTAGTGTAACAAAATTTAAATCGAGGGATGTCAGAATTTGCTTATTGAAAAATGTTTATGTGAAAATGGCGGATACTGAAAAGTTCGAATTAAATGAAAATACCGAACTATTAATAAATTCAGTAGAGTAACAAGTCCGGTAAATTTAACGAGAAATAAAAAATAACATTTACCGTTCTACTGTGACAGATAAGTAAAAAAGTCAAGGGACTTTTTAATTTAATTTTAAAAGCTTTATCTATCCCTCAGATTTAATGACGGACCCGAGGGTCTGATTTACCCTATATGTGTTATAATAAGTAACTTATTTCATTCATATACTTACTAATTCTTTTAAAAAATAATCTGCCTTCTCCAACCGAATCTTTGATCGATTTTGGCACTATTTCAAATTTTACCATTGCTCCATTTTCTTCAAACGATTTTGGTGAAATTTTTACAGTGGTTCCCATGAAAAAGTTTTCGGGAAGTTGCAGTTCGAGATCGTGAGTCATGAAGAATTTTATAGTGTTTTCGGTTAACGACCTTGACATCTCTTCTATGGGTGTACTATCATCAAGCGTTGTTGAAGAATCATTCGTTTCATTTACGATCTCTTCGAACAGTGTGGGTTTAATATAATTCACGGAATTTTTAGGAAACTTTAGAAAGCTTGTAAACTGTATATCATTTTGGTAATCTAAAGTATGTTTCATATATTCATATATTTTGTTTTTAATACAACTAAAGGTCGGTGGCATACAGTCCTTGACAAGACTTGACCACAACTCATTTCCTGACGTTAAATTTGAGAAAGTTTCAGGTATTCCATTTACTGTATTGCTAGACGAACTGTTCACGTAAATAAAGTTATGTGTTATCGTAATTAATATGAGGTAGTATATTCGGCACATTTCTTTGGTAATCAGTTTATGCTTTTAAAGAAATCTCACTTGTGCACTTTCATTTAAACCACTGCCACATCGTCTGTCAAATGCGTGTATCACATTATAAACTGGACCGCACAACTGGGATACATTTGATGCTCTTTTAGTAACTGGCACGAAGTGAATACGAATTACAAATACCTGACTCGGCCATCACCTTGCTGGCACACTTAAGACGTCCCCTTCCGCTAAGGTATCGACCAATTCTCGTTACAGAATAAGTTTTAAAAAATTTCGAAAAATAGATACTCCCAAATTTTTACTCAGGAGAATTATAATATTTTAACAGTGCATGCAGCTAAATTATCATTAAGTATCAGTTATTTGGTGCTGACTGTTATTGATGTCTATAAAGATATGCAAATGGCTCATTTTACGGCACGTCCCCGATAAGGTGGACATCTTATCTTTTGTACAGGGTGTCCGGAAGCGAAAACTTTAAGGGTAGTTTCCTTGAATAAAAATGAAGTTACTTTATTGCAATTCTGTTTCCTTAAAAAGTTATTATCCTTCATTTTTTTTTTCATTTCACTTTATTCTAAATAATTACCTCACTTTTAGATATAGATATCAATAAAATTAGACTTATGTATCAATAAAATGAGATGTGGGGGATTTTTTGGGAAGCCTAATGGAAATATGAGCTCATTTTTTACTTAAATTATAAATGTTGCTTAGAACACCTTAACAGTCTTTTTTGCCATATTTTTTGTTGGTAGAGATTTTTAGAAAATGCAGATGTTTCTTGTAGTGCCACTTTATTTAAAAAGTCATACTTTTTTCATGTTGATGAATTGCGGCATTTCAGATGGACTTAAATTTTTTACTTCAGTCTTCAGTTACAGTTTTTCTTCTACATTTGCAACTAAATTAAATATTTCAAAAATACATATATTCTATTATTAGCTGTCACAAGTTTTTACTCTTTTGTAAAGATATTAAGCTAATATGAAATCAAACAATGTTTTTTGACACCAGACAGGTATGTAAAAGATATTCAACCTCACGATAATCAACTAATGACTGCAATAAAATAAATTTTTCTGTGAAACATTACATGCAACAAATATGCATTATTTAAAGTAAATAAAATGGTGAATGGTGAAAACATATGCGTTTCCTCAAAATCTCAACCAACAAAAAAAACGTTAAAACATTTTTGAATATACTTTCATGTTTCCAAGTCATATTCGATCGAAAACCCATTCGTATTCATTTAATTCATTTAAAGGACATTCATCATAATGACTTTTGTCATGGCATATTGTAAAAGTTTTGGATTTTGTAAAATATGCATCTAAAATGCGTGTAATAGTGATTCTAAGACCATTAATTATGAATCTACCATTATGATTCGAAATTCCACAATAGTAGATCCAATATGGCGGATATTACCAATTTAAAGTACCGGCGTGGGGGTATTTGGGTCTCTGAGCCTTACTTCAGCATCGAAATTTCAAAATGACGGATCCAATATGGCGGGCACAAACCTCTTTTAATCTATTTTAGCAAGATTTTGAAATTTCGGACGTAGTATTTGATGCGCCATGTTGTATTTTTCAGAGGGCCATCATTTTCTCGAAAGTTCTTGCCTAGACGAACATTTTAAGACCCCATACGTCTCGATCGGTGAATCCAAATTTTTGGGAGCACTGGTGATCCTGTGACGTGAAATGATGGAATTGTCCTAAAAAATGAAACATATTCTTTTAAGGCCGATAATATTTAACAAAATTATACTGACACCCTGTATATTCAACGTTCAAACAAATAATTTTGTAAGGAAATAGTAAATCGTTCTTATTTCGAAAACGATTAAATTTATCGATTTTTAACAGGCATATATTTTTTATTTAGAATTGAAAGTAGTTTAATAATTTCTTATTGGAAATTCAGATTTTTGAAGGACAAAAAAGTTTGACATATGTTTATTCCGACGGAACACTATAACTAGTGCGTCCTAGATGTGATTGCAAAATAGTTACCATTTCCGTAATTACCACCTCAGAAAACATAGGTGTACAAACTTTCAAGACAATCCATTCAAAGATGCTCAAGATACTTAAAAAAATCGAAAATATTTTTTCAAATTTAACACCCTGTAGATCGAAAAGGAGCAACATTCGGATAAGTCATACTTGGCTTAATCGCTCTATATTGAGGTCAGCAACATGTCCTTAAGCTCTGTCCCATTATTAATGAATCTCACTTTTTTTTTGTTGACTAGTATAATTATCATACTTATTACACCAAAAAAGACAAAATAAACAGGGTATTTTGTGTTTCTGGTCAAGGCCAATTTGACAACAGGTCTGATACGAGAAAAACTGTCAAAAAATTAGAAAATTGCAAATATCTCTAAAAGTAGTAAGGTAATCCTAACAATGATTATATGACTTGTAAGGAAATTTCAATCTGCATACGACAGATTAAAAAATATAGGGTGTTCCATTTAAGTTAACAAAGTTATATAGTTGTTTGATGTTATCAAAATGTAACAGCCAAAATGAAACACCTAGTATTAAATGTTTTAATTTGTTGGTATACCATAATTTAGCGTTACCGGTACCAACAATCCGCTTGATATCACGCTCCTGAAAAGAGTTACTAGCATCTCCGCGGACCCTTGCAGCTGTCAAATTTTTTCTTTAAAAATTAATATCCCAAAATCTATAACTCCTAGGTATAGGGAATATTTAATAAAGTGACCCTCAAATTTCACGTAGAATACGAAAATGCAATAATATATAGGGTGTCCCATTTAAAATAACGAAGTTGGTGGCGACTTCCGGTATAACCGGAAGTGCTGGAGAGTTCTAGATATTTTAGTTGTGTTCGTCCTAGGGACAATGCCATGTTGCCAAATTTTCAAAATTTTCGAAGCAGTACCTACTTTCCTAGATATCGATCGACGCAGGTCCCGGTGGGACACCCTGTATATAAGTCTTTGGTAGAAGTACTATTTTATAAATGTTTTCGCATCTTAACGTTTTCATTTTTAAGTTTAAGAAAATATAAGGAAGTTGTAGCTTAGCTATAAGAAACACAAAACCATTACAAAAATTTACATTAATAACAGACGAAACAAGATTTATTGAAATTACTAAGTATATTTTATCATTGAAAAATACAAATTATTAATTGATACCTTTTAAAACTCTCATTTCTCTGGATTTATACATTTTACTTTCATGTTAGAGCATTAACTCATAAATTAAATTTTTTGAACATTGCTGTAGAGGTAAAATAAAATAAACGTTTTTAATGAAATTATGTTCAATGTATTTATTCATTGATGTCATCACTGTATATGTATATCATATTTAAATGTGACCTGTTTGACCGCTCTACTTTTATTCTTGTGCCACATGCTTTTTCTGATATTTAATAATTACTGTAAACAAATTTAATGGCTTTCACTTACGTAGGATATTCCATCTTGGAATATCCTACGTAATGGCGTATTCCTCGACACAAATTATCAAAAAAAGTTCCTATAACCATGTGTCCGGAGACTTACCGTTTTGGATACAGAGAGTGTTCGAAACTAATAGATATTTGTCAAATATAAAATAATTTTTAATAAAAAAACAATTACCAACAATAATTATAATGTTTACTGCTGTGCCTACGGACCATATGCAAAAGATCTGTATCACGCATACCTAATTATATGTAGGTTTGTGAACAATCAAAAATTAAAACTACTTACCTACATAACGATAATTGTGAGTCAAACCACAAGCAGTTTTTTAATTTATTTGTTAATTTGTGATGCAGAATTTGCCATGAAAGTTTGAGCAAACATTTCAGTTACACAATATTTACTTTTTTTTAATAACATAGGTAAATATATAAAAATTCATGTTCAATTTCATTCATGTAAGTACCGAGGATTTCAGCGCTTTCTGGGAATGAATTGTTATGTTACTTGACCATATTAATTTATTGTTTCTATTTCTTAACGTATATATTTTTTTGCAGTCATATTTTTTAAAATGAGGGGCCGGATGGATAACATACAGGTTTATGTAAATAGAAGTGCCTGCTTAATAGACTCTTGAATGACAATGAAAGTTACCGCTTACATTCTTAGTAGGTATGATCTCAATTATTATTCTATTACGTTGAATGTTTTTCTTACGTTCACCTTTCGTAGACGTTATACGCTATACGAGGGTCATTCAAAATCTGGTCCCGTTTTGTTATAAAACAGAAACTATACAGGGTGTGGCGTGTATAATCTATAAAAATTAAAATACAGCTTCCTGATGATGTTTGTAATAGAAAACTCTTATACGAAAAAGTTCTATCTTTGCGTTTTTTTTTCTAAATTAAAGTTCATTTATTCAACGAAAATGTGAAGACCGGCCCTGTGTTATTTACTAAAAACTTTGGAAATGTTTTTATGCGACCCGAGATGCAACTTTATAATTTATACAGGGTGATTCACAACTTATCCAAAAAAATTTGGGAATAGATGCAGCATGAGAAATGGAATCAATATCGTAAAAAAAAATTTTTTGTAAAATCCTTATCTTTCCGAGAAAAAAAATATTGAAGTTATAGTACATTCAACCACTACATAGCTGGACAACTGTAGTCTCTAGCGTCATTCGCCACGTGCCTCAGCGACTCCGAATACTGAATTCGGATTTTGCAATCGTCGTTGCGATATTTACCTGTTATCTGTGGTGTTTACAATATGTTTTTAGTAGTTAGTGTCAAAAATGGGTAGTTAGTGTCAAAAATGGTTTGCGTGTACTCGGAGTTGATGGATATCGTTTTAATTTATGGTGAAGCATTTGTGTTATGGTGAAACAAGACAACATTTGTGTTAGTTCGTAGAAACTGAGTACAACGGACCCAAATGTGTTTACACATTGGTGGATAAAATTTTGAACAATTGTTGTAACATCGGGTATGTCAAATGATTTTATTATTTAAAAACACAAATTAATTTTATT